CCCCAAAACCCCAAAACCCCAAAACCCCGAGAAGCAAACTTAGAATTAATTCGGAATAATAAGTTAAAGGTAAAATAAATAGTTAGCATCCAATGACTTGAAGGCTTATTAATTTTATTATATGATCCAATATATAGACATTCTGAGCTATCAGTTGAAGCCCATTGGTCTCTTTCTACCAGAATACTTAGAATCACGACAGACAGATTTACCCTATTTCCTTTGTCTGTCCTTTTTCTTCATGATCCAATTTTTATCTTTGCTCTTCGCATTGCTATTATTGAATTTCTTAACACTTGCTCCGTATTTCTCCTTTTTCTTTATCATTTTACTCTTTTATCTACCCTTTATATCTACTTTCTCGTCATCGTCGCTGTCATTTTCATCATCATCACTATCATCTTCAGAATCAGTGTCGCCAGTCTTGGCTCTTGGCATAATAACTTGTCTTGCTTCATTCATGATTTCCTCTGAGTACCCAGCCATTAAGAACAAGTAATACTTCTTAGCTTTTTGAGAATTGGGATAATCTACAATAAGACCACCTGTAAATCCATTCTTCATTGCTGAATTAGTTATCATTTCAACTTACTCTGGACTGCTTGGATAGAATTGAAATGCGCATCTAGCACCCTTAATAAGACAAGCATATAAGCTAGAAAAGAACTTGTTAAGTCTCTTGTATGGATTCTGGCATTTCATTTCAGCAGAACACAACCACTGGAGAGCTGAGATGCTGACTGCACCATCAAAAGTGCCAGGCCTGAATCCAAAGCCATGACCCATATCAGCATGAATGACATCACCATCAACATCACGATCAGCTGCAACATTAAGCATAGCTTTTGAGATATCGAGACCAACCCAGCAGTGATCATACTCTGATAATACCTATCCTGATATTCCAGACCCACAACCTATATCGAGCAAAAGACGAGGAGAATGCTTGGGAATAGCTAAAATCTCTAGAGCTCTTTCTGTGATTTCTTGTTGAATCTCAATCATACGAGAATTCATAGTATATTTCTTGGCTTCTTCTTCATTATAGAAGACATCTGCAGGGGCTAACTACTCTGGCCTGTGATTCATTTTATTATTTAATAATAGTATTAGAGTAAGTACGATATGTAAGTAAACCACTGAAAAATTGAAGGCTCTTGGGGTTTTGGGGTTTTGGGGTTTTGGGGTTTTGGGGTTTTGGAG